GGGCCATCTGATCCAGGGAAAGAACCCACCAGCATGTCCTTCAAGTCCTGGAGCACACCCGGCAGGAGTGTCCCCACTCCTGCCGGCATGGCAGCGAACTTGGGAGGATCTGCGGAGCCGGCCACCGCTGCCCGGGTGGGAGGGAGCCCGCAACCCTCTTCCCGCGAACCGCAATGGGCAATCTCCGCGCGGTGTGGCCAAGGGGTGACCAAACACTCTCTCCCCAGGACGGTGGAAATTCGTGAGCTTTGCTATGTGGCAATGTGCGCTACACGCAGAGGCGCCTGGCCCCCCGGCACTGGGGAGCAGATGGGCTTCAGGGACGGAGATCCATCCACACCGGAGCTCTGCGGACGGGACCAGGAAGGGCATGTAACCACGCCACCTGAGGCCCCCCTCTGCAGTCACACGATGTGGGGGTCTCTTGCCCTCACTCTAACCCAAGGAATCCAAACACTCCACCAGAGGTTTAGATCTGGGGCTGAGAAAGGACATGAGTTGGGAGCGGGGGGGGGGGGGGGGGGGGGGGGGGGGGGGGGGTCGCTGAGGCCAAACTAGGCTTATGCTCCAGAATTGCAGCCCTCTAGGGAAAGGACTAGCCTGGTCTCACAGCTTTCCTTAAGGCTCGATAGTTTGACGAGTCAAATTCGAGAGATGTAAGGGCATGGAACCCTGGTCTAGCCTAGGCATTCCTCAGCAGCCCTGTTTCAGGCAGAAACAGCCCTCCCTGTCCACCTCCAAACTCCAGAAGGCCTCAGGCTACTTTTCTACCAGCATCCCGGGACAAATGCCTCTTCCAGTATTTCTGCTCTCCTCCAGTTTTAATATTGATTTAATTATATCCACACAATCGCCTGGGAGCTCTTCTTTCCCCATCCTCAGAAAATGGCCTTTCCAGAGAGACCACAAGAAGGAGTGGAAGAGACGGCCTGGATGACTCTGAAAACAACACACTGCCCAATAAACACCAATAAACACAACTTCACCTGGGCTGTGAAAACACTTTAGAATGGTTACCCCATGGCCAGCCACTGCATCTCTCCCCAAATGCTTCCTCCCAACTTTCTGGGCTGCTTGTGCCAGCTCTTTGGCAGCAAAGCAGATGGAGAGGAGGCTGGGGACAACCAAGACTGGCTTAGCACTCATGGAACCTACTGTAGGCAAGGGTGCTGGAGCCCAGGCTTCCAGAATCACCTCTAGATCTTTGCCTAGGCAACAACAAACTGCGGTGGGGCAGTAAGTATAGCTGGACAACATAGAAAAGGCTGACCCAGAAAGGCAGGGGCCATTGGAGAATTGAAGAGGCTGACCCTGAATTGAGGGGGTAGGAGGAAGAACTATTTGAGAATCGAAAACAAAACCAATCTTGAATCCTGGGGGAGGAGGCATTATTTAAAATGAATTAAACCAAAGCCATGGATAGGATAAGCAAAGAATAGAAACTTTCACAGACAAGAGGGGAGCTCAGTCAAGGAAGATAGCTACTTGAACTAAATTGGGCTAGAAATCTGAACTGGGTCCATCCCAAATCAGTCTGTGTCTGTTTCCACTCCTATAAACTTGTATATGAAGAGCCTGGGTGATTCCTTAAGATCATATGTCACTCCACTCTGCAAAATGGACTGGGAGGTTCTTATACAGTAGATTTTCGTTGTTGTCGGGCAGGGGGTTTGAACTCAGGGTCTGGGCTCTGTCCCTGAGCTTTTTTGCTCAAGGCTAATGCTCTACCATTTTGAGCCACAGCACCACTTTCGGTTTTCTGGTGGGTAATTGGAGTTAAGAATCTTGAGGACTTTCCTGCCAGAGCTGCCTTTTAAACATAATCCTCAGATTTTGGCCTCCTGAATAGCTAGGATTACAGGCATAATCCTAGGTACTAGCAGGCATCTGGCTTCAAGGAGGCTGGCATGTGGAGTATAAACCCAACTGAGGATAAAGAAGAACAGACTAATAGCTTCTCTGAGTCCACTGAGCTCCGCAATATGTTCTCAGGAATTTTTGGATGGAAATTTGTTAAAAGCTCATGTAATAAATCCTCCATCAAGACAGGCTTACTGTGCTTCTTTTCTGCAGTGTGGGTGTCAGCAGAGAGGGTACAGCAGGGCCAGGCAGAGGCAGGGGCTGCCAGCTGCACCTTGATATTAGAGTGTCTTCTCTGGAACATTAGAACCGGGAGATGTAGGTGGGAAATGTCTGTCAGTTCTACCCTGAAGCTGGGCAGAAGATTGGAGCCTGAGAAGTCAGAATATCACTGGCAAGGCAGGAAGCTACCCATTCCTGTTTGCTGTTTTCCAAACGAAGGTATTCAGAAGGTGAGATGGATAGGACCAGGCCAGTGCTGCTTTTCTCCCCACTTATTTGGACACAAGCAGAGCCGAGCCAGGTTGGAGTCAGTGTGTGGTCAATGGTGTGGTCTAGCTATGAGTGAGGTCCTGGGAATGAGAAAGAGATCTCCGTGTAGTAGAAAGCAAGCCCGAGGTATGTGTACAGCTGCCAGATAAAACATATCTGCTAAATCTAGCAACTCAAGGTATGTTAGTTTATCTGTACTTAGGACAGAAACTTCTCACCAAGACTTTTTTGTTTCCCAAGGACTCTGCCAACACTGCAGTTCTAAGCTAATGGCTGTCTAATTTAAGGTCGCTGGTTTGAGGACTGGGCCACTTCAACTTTCCCCCAAGAACCTATCATTTTTGCAGACCCACTGGGTCCCAAATATGGACCAGACCTGCCTCCTATCCTCTTCTGCTCTGAGTTTGGGAGGATGAAAAACTCTATTGTGAGGATTTTACAAGTGTTAAAACCCAGTCCTGTTCTATCTTGTTGCAGGAGACTGGGTGAATCCTTTCCCCCCTCTCTGAGCCTCTGTAGCCCTAGCTGTAGGATGGAAGAGCTGGATTTATCTAGTCTCTTCTGGCTACTGCAGTCAGATAAAATAACTCATCCAGCCTCACATCCACTCTGCTAAGATTTAGGCTGTACACCCCCACCCCATTTACAGAGGACTGATGAGTTAGTTCAGCACAGTGACCAGATGTGGTACCAGGACTTGAGATTCAAGTGAGAGACTATATCACTCACTAAACACCTTTTCTCCCAGGAAACAGATCCGTAAGAATCTGTAAAGTTCTCTTTTCTTCTCAATACTCTCCTTAAGCACACTGGAATATAGCTACTGTTACATATTAATCATGAAATAGGTGTTCTAAATCTCATTTTGATAGAGGAAGAAAACTTACCCAAAGGGCAGCTGGTAAGTACTGAAGTTAAGACTGGAAAACCAAATGCTGAACGAGTCTTCAAAGCTCACGCTGCTCTTCGCGGCTATACAGACGAGGAAACTGAGGCTCTAAAGAGAAAGTGAGCTAAGGACAGTCACATCAGCCTTTTGACAGTGGAGCGCAGCAGGAACTCAGGCTCAACGCTGGAGCTTTGGCCACTGCGCGGCGCTGTGGGGGCAGTGGCCGCCCCATCCGCTCAGTTCCAGCCCTGGTCCAGCACTGGACCTCTTCTTCCACGTTCCAGAAATTGAAACGGGCTCAGTGGCAGCTAGAGTGATCAGTTTTGGGTCCCGGAAGTATTGGCTAGTGGAGAGAGGCCAAATAGGATGGGCTGGAACCAGGCTGATATTAAAACAAACAAACAAAAAGCTCCCAGGGCAAAGCCAACTAGTGCAAGAGATCCTGAGATAAAGAAAACACTAGCCCGGGGGCTCAGGTCAGGGCTCACCGAGGAAGGTCTCTAAGAGAGTCCTGCAGTCTGATACCTAACGCCCCGAAGCCCCGCGGCTGGAGGCGTGGGGATGGGGGTGGGGTGGGCGCTCTCAGCGCGCCTTAGGCGGAGGTAAAGCAGAGGGGAGAATTGTGCTAGGCACTCCCAGACCCACAAGGGTGGACCACCCAACTCCAGAGTTTCCTTAGGATCGAGACAGACATTCACCGAGGGCAAGAGTCTAGAGATTGAGACGCCCAGATAGTAAACCGTCGGGAGCACAGGCAGTCTCGGGGCGAGGGACCCATCTCCGTCCCGGGGATCGAGCCGCAGCGGACCGCTAGCAGGCGGCGCGCTCCCGGGGTCTCCCCGGGGATGGTGTCGGGGCCACGATCTCGGAAGGACAGAGGATTGTCTCACCTTTCTGAGGTCGCTGAGCAAGGGCGCCAAGTTTTCACGTCGCGATCACTGCCCTCCCCGTTCACATCCCCATCCCACCCCCCCAGCGGGAAGCCCGATTTGGCGGGCCTGGTGTCCACCGCGTTAGTCCGGGCTTCTTAGGCTCCCGCTGCAGTTCCAAGGGCGCATCGGCCGTGGTGGCCCAGGCACCGCCTCGGGGAGATGGTAGGTGTAGGCTGTCGCTACTGCGGCCGGCGCCCGAGTGAGTCTGAACTTCCAAGAGGCCGAGAGCGCAGAAGGCGCGGGGCTCCAACGAGTCCAGGGTTTGCGGGAGCGTCGGGGAAGCGGACGACCCGCCTCCAGCCTCGCGAGCCTAGCTCCCGCCGCGCCGGAGGTTTGTTCCCGCCGAGCCCTAGCGCCCAGGCCCTCCGCCCGCCCCCTTCCTCCCCGCCCAACCCCGCCTAGGGAGCTCCGCCCCGGGTCCACGGTTCTTCCGCTCCCGGCAACCGCTAGGCGGGCGGGACTAATTCCTCGACCCCCCCAGCCCCCCCCCCCGGGAAATTAGGGGCCAAGATCGGCCGGAGTAAGAGGCGACACGGCTCCTTCTACCTGGGGCGTCCTGGGTACAGGTCCCGACTGGGGGCCTCCAGAGTCCGCAGAGGGAAGAGCCGGGGCGTCCCCCCTCCCCGGCCCCCACTCCCGGCAGGGTGTAAGTGGCCGCGGCCGGCCACCAGGGGGCGCTGCGGAGCCGGGGGACACCCCTCCCGGTCCGCCTCGGTCCCCCGCCCCCTCCCCGCCCGCGCGCAAAACACACTCGCCCCAGAGGCAGCGCGGCCCGAGCCGGAGCCGCGGCCGGAGCGGAGCCGGAGAGCGGCGGCGGCGGCGGCACCATGACCCTGGGCAGCTGCTGCTGCGAGATCATGTCCTCCGAGAGCTCCCCGGCCGCGCTGTCCGAGGCCGACGCAGACATAGACGTGGTGGGCGGCGGCGGCGGCAGCAGCGGGGGGGAGCTCCCTGCCCGCTCGGGGCCCCGCGCCCCCCGGGATGTGCTCCCCCACGGCCACCAGCCTCCGCTAGGGGACGCGGAGGCCGACGTAGCGGAGGACGAGGAGGAGTCCGGTGGCTGTTCGGACGGCGAGCCCCGCGTGCTGGCGCCCCGGGGGGCGGCGGCCGCCGCGGGAAGCCCAGGGCTAGGCGCGGCGGCGGCGGCGGCGGCGGCCCGGGGCGCGGCGGGGCCGGGGCCGGGGCCGGGACCGCCGTCGGGGGGCGCGGCGACGCGGAGCCCGCTGGTGAAGCCGCCGTACTCGTACATCGCGCTCATCACCATGGCCATCCTGCAGAGCCCCAAGAAGCGCCTGACGCTGAGCGAGATCTGCGAGTTCATCAGCGGCCGCTTCCCCTACTACCGGGAGAAGTTCCCCGCCTGGCAGAACAGCATCCGCCACAACCTCTCGCTCAACGACTGCTTCGTCAAGATCCCCCGCGAGCCGGGCAACCCGGGCAAGGGCAACTACTGGACGCTCGACCCGGAGTCCGCCGACATGTTCGACAACGGCAGCTTCCTCCGGCGCCGTAAGCGCTTCAAGCGGCAGCCGCTGCCGCCTCCGCACCCGCACCCGCACCCGGAGCTGCTGTTGCGTGGCGGGGCTGCAGCCGCGGGAGACCCCGGCGCCTTCCTGCCGGGCTTTGCCGCTTACGGCGCCTACGGTTACGGCTACGGTCTGGCGCTGCCGGCCTACGGGGCACCCCCACCGGGGCCGGCCCCGCATCCGCACCCACACCCGCACGCCTTCGCTTTCGCCGCCGCCGCTCCTTGCCAGCTGTCGGTTCCCCCAGGCCGCGCGGCCGCACCTCCACCCGGACCTCCGACGGCCTCGGTGTTCGCCGGCACGGCGTCGGCTCCGGGCCCGGCTCCTGCTCCGGGATCCGGCCCGGGCCCCGCAGGCCTGCCCGCTTTCCTAGGCGCAGAGCTAGGCTGCGCCAAAGCTTTCTACCCCGCATCCCTGAGTCCTCCAGCAGCTGGGACAGCGGCCAGTCTGTCCACCGCACTCCTGCGCCAGGGTCTCAAGACGGACGCGGGCGGCGGTGCGGGCGGCGGGGGCGCAGGGCCAGGGCAGAGGCCTTCCTTTTCCATAGACCACATCATGGGCCACGGTGGTGGCGGGGCCGCACCCCCGGGCGGCAGCGAGGGTTCCCCGGGGTCGCCGTTTGCTGCTGCCGCGGGTTCTGGAAGTCAAGCCCAGGTCTTGGCCATGCTGACTGCCCCCGCCCTGGCTCCGGTGGCCGGCCACATCCGTCTCTCGCATCCCGGGGACGCACTCCTGTCCTCGGGGCCCCCGTTTGCCAGCAAAGTCGCCGGCCTCAGTGGCTGCCACTTCTGACCGCACAGGGGCTCAGGGCCGGTTAGGCCCGCACTGGTCCGCCTCTGCCGGAGCTCCTGAGGCCCCAGCGGAACTCAGGGAGTCTTATTTATGACGAGTCTCCAGACCTGGGCCGGAGCGGGTTGACTTGGCACTTGGGGGCGGGGGTGGGGGGTGGGGGAGGCTCCAACGCGCAGAATGTCGCCGAGAGTTGGGACGAAGCGGGCTTCCAACGCTCTGGGCGAGGCCCGGGTCTACGCAAAGAGGTCCCAAGCCAAGATCCCCTTCCATTTTGATCAGTAAAATAGGAGACGGGGAGCTTGTGCTTTTTTCCTGCCTCGGTGCCCCGATCGAAGCCCCGGAAGAAAGCTTTCCTGGACATATGCCTGCTGGGGCCCTGCGGATCCCGCCAGAAACCCACGGGTGTGGAGAAGTGTCAACTCCTTCCTCCCCCCCATTCCATTCCTTCCTCAACTTTGAGACCCTGTTTGTCCAATACTATAATTTAAAGACATCTGTTAACCGCTTTGTGCTTAAAAAGAAAAAATCAACGATTTTTTTTGTTTTGCTTTTCTCCAAAGAAATTAGAAGCCTAAGGCAGTGTCAAACGGAAAGGAGAGGTGGAGCTGGGGGTCTCCGCAATCCTTCCAGGAACCCCAGATCCCACTCCACTGAGGAAAATCCTTTCTCTCACGTGTTTGGATGTTTTCAAAGAAACTTTCTCTCTCTTTCCCGTGGCTAATCACCCAGGGCCAGCAGCCCTTTCGGCCTCATGCCCTTACCCCAGGCCCTGCGATATTTATTATAGTTAAAGGTGATGAGGTCGTGGGAGAGGAGGGTCTGGATCAGCAACTGGAGAGGTAGAGGGGTGGGATGGGCAAGGGCACAGAGCTTTGGCAGGGGGTCCTGTAATTATGTGTAAATATCTGTACAGCGGGCTGCTCTCTGCATTCTCTGTCCACTGGTGTGCATTGATTTAGATTTCTCCACTTAAGGGAGACTGTGAAATCCTCTGATGGTTTGTGTGGAAGAAAAGAAAAATGTCTCTCTCTCTCCCCGTTGGTGTCAATTGAATAAATGTATGTGAACTTAAGCAGTCACCAGCTCCATCTGCTTGCCTGCACGCCCTTGTCCTTGTCCAGCTCTTAAATGAGACCCTAAGCTTGCCAGTAGAGGGGGAGTGAGGAAGGGCTGGACAGGCAGAGTGCAAGGTTTAGGCTTAGAAGCTACTGGAGGTATTTTGGCCTTGGCCTTCAGCTGCTAATGGAGCCAGATCTCTGGGAAGCTTGTAATCCCTCCTGCACTTTCGTTTTCACTCTGGTACTAGAAAGAGTTTTGTCCCGGGATGGGCAGAGGGATGATGTGTCAAATGCACCTGAGGAGTCTCACCTCTTTCTAGTTGAGTTTTTGACATGGCCTAGGCAGATCTGGGAGCTGAATGCTCTTGAATACTATGCCTACAGCGTACAAGATGAATTTATCTCTTGATGTATGCCTCAGTGTGCAGGGACTTTACACGGAGTTTGTGGTTTGTCTGGGTTGTTTTGCTTTTTAACTTTTTTGTGTGTGAATTGTATTTCAGGATCTGTGTGTGTGTGTGTGTGTGTGAGAGAGAGAGAGAGAGAGAGAGAGAGAGAGAGAGAGAGAGAGAGAGAGATTTAGCTGTTGTCTTTTTCTAGGAGAAGAAAGATTTCTCTTTGGCCATTGCAGGGCTTTTACAATCCCTCCTCCCAGAGTGGAAGGCTTTATTTACAGAATCTCCAAATTGAATTAGAAACCTTTCTCTCCACCATCCTGAGAGGGCTAGAGGTTCACTGTAAACTAAATGAGAGCAAGTGGATTCTCACTGTGTTAGAGCAAAGCTCCTGGTCTCTTGAGCCACATTCACAACGGAAAGCCACTGCCCAGGTGCAAATCCATTGGTCTATTTAGAATGCTCCATAGCCCACTGAACTCTCAGCTCTCTCTTCCTGTGCCCAGGATGCCTAATAACTAGGTTTACAAACCTGGCGTGTGAGGGTGTTGTATTGGGTGGAGTAAAGATGGCTGCTTGGCTCTTTTCTTGGTGTGTTTCATTGAGATCACAGGAGAAGAGAAATGTGGACAGACAGGAAGAGGTAGTTCAGCTTTCACAGAAAGCATATACAACTACTAGAAAACAAGTGACAGGAAAGAGCCAGATGTGGAGAACTTGAAGGTGTGAACCGAAAGAAGTTAGGCCAACCTGTTCAGCTAGGATCCCAGCAGCTGGCAATAATAGGAAGAAAGGAAAAGGAATAGGACAAAGGCATCTGTAGAGAGAGGACCTGAATCTGGATGAGGGTTGAACCACCCCGGGCTGGAGAAAGGTTGTTGGGATTTCCTGTTTTCTCCACTAATGGAAAAGACTAGAGATGTGGATGGCAATGCCACTTCTCTCGTCAGAGGTGAGATGCCCTTTTCCTTCATCATACTGAGAGACTAAAGGAGTTCAGAGAGGTGGAAAAAACAGTGGGAAATGTCTGTGAATACTGGGATATTGGTCATGGACTGCCTGCTTTGCTGACTTCCATTGTTCTGAGTTTGATTTCGTTTCCTTGCACTTGAGAAGGATGAATGTAATTTTGTATGCATGCATGTGTATGCACACACGTACATGTCAGTGCTTATGTTTGCCATCAGTAAAGCACTTTGCAGTTATGTGATCTCATTCACCAGGAGTAGATCACTCTCAAATATTAAGGTGGAGCTTATCAGTTGGTCTTTCTCCAGTAGAAGAGAAAATTTAGCCAGACAGAATTCATATATGGTGAAGAATAGATGAGATACAACCATAACTGCTATTTGCAGAAGCATCAGATTTCTTCTGGATTCCGTGTGTGTGTGTGTGTGTGTGTGTGTGTGTGTGTGTGTGTGTGTGTGAGAGAGAGAGAGAGAGAGAGAGAGAGAGAGACAGACAGACAGACAGACAGACAGACAGACAGACAGACAATTTATCTGAGTTTATTGTCTGGTCAGAGGGGCTGGATCAGGAAAAGAGAATACAGAATTGGAGAAGGATTGAGGTGCGCAAGGGTCTTCTGGGAGTCTGGGGCCCTCCATGACTCAGACTCAAGTTTCCTAGTGACTCCACTAACACCCAGTTGACAGCGCAGGAAGAGACTCCAGGTGCAAAGGCAGGAGAGAAGGGAAGGTATTTGGAATTCTGGACTGCTTTAGGTCACCTTGGTGAACAACTTGTTAGGAGGTGGAAACTGGAATGTGGGAAGAATGAAGGAGCTCTAGGATTGGTACAAAGAATTTTTCTAACCTCCTTTTCCAGACTGGAGGGACTCCATCTGTGGACTCTAGCTCTAGATCTGTGGGTGCAGAGGGTGGGTATTGGCTCACTTAGGGGCCCAACCTCCTGCGAAGGCAAACAGACCCTCCCATCAGGAACAGCTCCCTGGGGTTTCCTCCCGGCCTGGGTGTTCGAAGCTGAGGTCTGTCACCCCACAGGCCTCAACAATTGGTGACAATAATAAGAAAATATCCAGGGCACACCTTCATCTCTCCGAGGTGAGAAAAAAAATGGTAAGAAATCAGCCTGGGGTTCAGAGAGTGCTTCTGAGAGCGGGCAGTTTAAAGGGGAAGAAAATTGGCGAATTTCACTGGTCAATTTCACTTCATTTCGTTCAATTTCGTTCAATTTCATTCCTTTTCATCCGGCGCCTGGAGGCCCGAGGCCACGAAGAGGGGGAGGAGGGGTCTTTCCGGGCAGAATTTCCCCCATCTTGCAGATTTACTTTCTATAGCCGTGAAGGACAACCTTGATCCTCCCAACTTTGACATACAGGTTTCAGCCGCCGCTAAGGGCGGACATTTTATTTGTATTGAAGAATAGTTGGTTTGGGTGATCGAGGCCGGTCGCCGAGCCCTTCCCGCACTTCTCTGTTGCGGCCCAATTAAAACGTTTAATTCTTTTCACAGCCGATTCCTCCCCATCTTTCTTTCTTTCTCCAGGGGCTCCCAGACCACCCAGGAGCCAGAGTTGCGGGGTGGGGGGCGGGGAGGGGTGGCCACTTCCCCACCATTTCCAATTTGCTCTCGCCACAGCGGGCGCGTCTTCGTGGTTACAAAGCGCTTTCCCTTCTGATGACTTTTTTTCCTTTCAAAAGCACTTCTATCTTCCCCACTCTTCAACTAGCAACCGTCCCCCGACCACCCCTCCTCCTTCCCCGCTCCGGTTTATTTAAACTTCGCCTCCTCTAGCGCCGCCGGAGCGCGCACTTAATGAAGTTGAAGGCTCGGTGAGCCCGGGTGAAGAGGGTTTGGAATCTGTTGAAAGCCGTGTTTTGTGACACTGATTGGGGCGGGGTGGGGTGGGGGGCAGGGGGGCAGTCGCGGACCAGACAATGACAGACAGACCAGGCGGGTTTTCCAGCGCCAGAGAGTCAGGCGAATAAAGGCGCCGGTGAGGTTTAAACGAAGGACCCAGCAGGAGAAAGGGAGAAAGGGTTTTTGCATGTGGAGCGTGCCTAAGGTTTGGGTACTTGGAAGAGGTGGGCGAGAGGCCGCTGGCCTCGGTCATTCCGGACGGAATTCGGAGTTTACCCTGCGCCTTCCGCTAAAAGAGAAGCGGGGTGGGTTTGAGTTGACGCCTGATAATTCCGAAGATCGTGAAGGCTACTAGGGCCCGAGAAGACCTCCAGGAGGCCAGCTAGGGTGATGAGACCCAGCCCACATTTGTCCCCGGGAGGGTTCCGCAGAGAGATTGTAAAAGAACGAACGGTGGGCGGTGGTGAGCCGAGAAGTGCAGCTCCCGAGCTTTCGTCTATCTGGGGGTTGGAAGGAGAGAAAGAAAAGAGGATTGAAATTTTGGAGCCAGACCATTCTGCTTTTTAAAAGATCAGCATAGACACGCATCCACGGAGGAGAGGATCGGTAGGGAGGACGGGAGATTCCCCGCTCTGGTTTCAAGGACGAGTGTTTTGCGCGGGATAGAGGGCGCGGCGCGGCGCGGGGCGGAGCGGGCACCGCCTCCTTCCGCAGCCGCCTCCGCGGCCGTGGCCGCCGCGCGCCCGAGCGGCCGTCCTTTCCCCTCCACCTCCCCGCCCAGACCCCCCGGAGGCGTCCGCCGGCTGGGGAGGAGGCGCTGGTGC